AACCAACCAACCAAAAAAACCCCAAAATGAAGGAGTATGTGAAAGGCACACAGGAGCTCCTAGTGACCAAAGTTGGAACAATTCAAGCAGCAAAATACATAACAATATTGGATTACAGCCCAACATATAAAATAAATCTCTGTGAGTCTCTACTGCTATAAGTGGAGGAGACAAATATTCTGCACAGAAGAATTCTCAATCATTGTGTAGATGCTCTCCTGCCACCTTCAAGAAAGTGGAACTTAATTCCTGCCTCTTAATGATGGGCTTTACTTAGTTACTTGCTTCTAAGAAGTAGAGTGTGAAAGGATAGGAGAAAGAAGGGGGAAGTAACATTAGAGTAGAGAAACCTAGAAGACACTACCTTGGCCAAGTGGTACATAAAGGTTCCACAGACCACTCAATATAAGCTTCCCCTTAATAAATAATAAAATGATTAAATTTTCTTGGACACATAAAGTATTTTCAGAGTACAGAGAAGGCAGTAACATTCTCCTATGATTTATCTTCACTGCATTTTTTAAAAAATTGGAGCCTTTCCTAATTTTGAGAAATAATTAGGTCATCCTTGAGAAAAAATCAGTTTACTTCTGTGATTTAGTTTCCAACCGTCTTATAATTTATGCATTATGTATTCACATGTAATAGAAAAGCTGTCTTGTCATTTGCTTAATTGGGCAAATCCAAAATGTTATCTATGTGTTTTACCACAAAATAAGTTTTATTTTAATTAGAAATGAATATTTTATATTCATCAATGCCTTTGTTAAATTAACAGCGACATTACTGATCCATTCTAAACTAAAAGCAAAATCAGAATTTCAGGTAAATGAAACATAAACTAAGGTCATTAAAATACGGCAATTGTAATGAAAGTTGTGACAAGTGGCACTTAACTTTAATTTGCTCTACAGATACTTTGAATGCTCAACATCCAGTAAATAGTTTGGGAAGAATCTGGGAAGGGAAATGAGCTGTAAACTGAAGCTTTTAAAAATAGGCTTTTTTTTTTTTTTTACCAATGACTTACGAAAATAATTGAATATAAACAAGAGTATAGTAGTATTCACAAGTTAAAAGCTTTGGTTACACATTTTGTTACATATCTTCCAATAAAGACTATAACACAATTAAATCCACTTTTACACTCAGATGTTTGTAAACACTAAGGCCATCCTAAGCAAAAAATAAGAATTCCAGTTTGGCAAAAAATGCTTTATGTTAAGTTATGGATTTCCAAATATATGAACTTTCTCCAACAAGATCAGAAGATGCTGACAAGATGAGCAGAGTTGGGGAAAGAACAAAAGACCAATGACCTCAGCTATTCTCTAAAATTCTTTAAAGACACAGCTCCTAGAAACTAAAGTTGAAGACAAATTAACTATGAACTAAAGTTGAAGTCAATTCTAGAACTTAAGTAAAAACAATAAGGATATTTTTCCTGGATTTCCTCATTTTAAAGAATACATATTTCTTACTTTGATAATTAATCTTCTACTATGTCAATCCTAACTGTGCACAAAACTAAGACCAATATTGTAATATTGTAAAATATACAATACTTAGAACTAAGAATCTTACAACCAAAATATGATTCCAAAAATAAAATCAGAAAATCCTTAAGAAATTGCAGCATGCTGCTTCTACTTTATTGTCAGCTATCTCACATAATAATGTGGACCATCAGGTGCTAAGAACTGTACTACTTTACATACATTGACATTCCCACAAAACTCTGTAAGGTTGGTCCTATGCATTGAAGACAACAGATTCCACTCCAAACTAGTAGTTTAAACAGAATGAGAATTAGTGCAGAGTATTTGGCAGCTGAAGAATTATCTGGGGGAGTCCTGAGTTTGAGTCCTCTACTATTAGGAACAATATAGCCGGAGAAATGCTCAGCCAGAACATGGCACTCTTATAGGGCAACCCTATAGCTACTACCTCCTGTCACAGATGTGTAGGGCTGAACCATGAAACTCCAACTCTACATTCCAAAACACCAGTCACCTTCACTACAGCA